ATTAACTGCATCTCTGCCAAGAGATAGTACTTAACGCCTTGCACAAGCCAGCGTAGGCTCAATGCACCACACCTGATATGGTTCACTGAACGTCGCCAGGAGTGATCACTGAGCACAAAGCTGGGAGTAAATCTTGACTTCTGACAGATGTGCCCCCCCAACAAAAACAAACAAATGAACTACAAAATGATCTTGCAAGTGACACAAACATGCAACATCCCATGAAATTTTATGAAAAAGACAATATGGAGTTAAGCCATGGATAATTGTAGGATAACATTGATTTGTCCTTTCTCCCTTGCTGCAGGGAACTTAGTTTACCTTAAAGAAATTTAAGTTTACCTTTCTGTATAGACACAGGAAGACAGTAAATATTATGCTTTGTAACTTGGGAGTTTAAGTTTACCTTTCTGTATAGACACAGGATGACAGTTAATATTATGCTTTGTAACTTGGGAGTTGATTGACTCCAATAATATTTACACCTGGGCATCTGCTTTTTTGACTCAGTTGTCCTTAGTTCCTAGCACCCCAAAAACAGGGTCCCGACGAGGGACTGAATGGACGCAGGGCAAGCTGTGAGCTACCCTGGCATCAAAATGGCCAGGTCAAAGCGCCACGATACTCAACTATAAGTTGAGGGCATGATCATGGACAAATGCTGTCATGATCCAAAGTAAGTAACGACGAAACTAGGACCCTGCTGGGACTAGGAAGACTAACCCGGCCTGAGGATTGCGGAATGTATAATGAGATGTTTATATCTCTTACTGTGCTCACACAGAATGACACTGCTGGAAATATTAGAAGTAGATTTACTACAACTATTTAAATGGATTACTAGCTCATTGGGATCCCACCCTTGAGTGGATCTCCTAGTAATCTGGAGTAATCTCCTTAGATGAGACTTTGTCCTTGAGTTAATCTCCTGGAGTAGTGGTCTTACCTCTCTTTGTTGATTTCTTAATGTTCAACCTAACTTTTTATCTCCACCCTACATGATTTCTATATAAACTAGGCTATAAGAGTGAATGAGGGAGGCCAGAAGGAGAATGAGGGGGAAGCAAGAAGGAAAATGAAGAGGGCTGGAGAGAGAGAAGCAGAAGGGGAATGGAGTTTTGAATAAACTACAATTGATACCAACCAGCCTGGACCTCGTTCCTTCCTTCGCCGCCTACCCATTGCCGTTGGCCTCCCCAGAGTGGGGCAAGCAGAGACCACTGAACACAAGTGGAAAGGGAGATAGAGCACTGCGACCTTTAGAACATACACATATAATAACCTACAATGCTCAAAGGCCAGACAGACAAAAAGATCAAGAAAAACTAAAGGAGGAAAATGGGGGTAGGTAAGGGCATTTGATTACTAGAGTAAAACATTAGTTTAATTAATAAAATAAGTTACTGGAGCAAAAAGAAAAATGACTATCCTGTGATCATGCCACTTAATTTCAATACTAAGTGAAGACTTTTCTAGCACATACTGCAGATTTTGTCTAAGGTGCCTGGCCCTGCTCCACACCCACAGCTGGTGTCCCCACTTGCCAAAAAGTTCATTTGCTATACTGCTTTTCTTCCTTCAACACCAGCCTTTCAGGGGCCTTCAGTGACAAATAACTCCCTACAGGCTTCATTTTCAGTCAAATAGTATGCTGCACTCATCTCAATTGCTCTAAGAATGGGAAGGTTGAGAAGATTTGTTTCAGAAAACGGTACCTCTGGATCACCACATTCCATGTTTCAGGATGGGGGGGTGGGAATAAAAGTTCCTCAAATTTTGGCTCTAATTTCAAAGTTCCTGGACATCAAAATTCATAGAACATAGAAAATTCTCAGCAATTTCTATCAAAAGATAATGTTCACTTTCCAATACTCTTTCTAAGAAAATCCTTTCCTTTCTCTCCACTAAGCTAGCTATTCTATTTCCAGCATACTGTTGAGCTGTTTGGAGCCTAGGCTAAGGCTCCCAGCTCCTGTTTCCAGTGGGGGTTCAGGAAGACCCTGACACCACTATTGCAGGGCAGTTCTTCCCCTCACATCCCTTGCACTGAGGAATTTTATACTGAATGGTTGACTACACATTTCTGCGTTCATTTCAGTCTTGGAACAAACAGTACTAAGTATATTCCAAAAGTGTCAACAACCTAATGAAAGCCCCTGGGAGGTGTGTGCTCAGGGCCTAATTACTCCCAGGTTAAACTACAGAAGAAGAAGGTTGGAAAACTCTCACTCCCGGTTTCTAAGGTGCTGTCTTTGTTCTGTCTAATAGGAACCACAGCTCCAGGTGAAGACGCCACCTATATGCCCAGTCTTCTCTTAGTCGTTGTTATTTGCGGGACCAAACTGAGAAACCAGGCAAAGCAGACACACAGAACAATTTGCTTTAGTTTCTGACTCCAGATGGCTCTGCAGTAACCCTAGGCTATGAACCTAAGGGATGAGCAAGGGCTGTGAAGAAACGGGAGCTTCTGAGGCTCACAGGACACTGAATTAGCAGGAAGGAAAGGTAGTAAGGGTTGGTTTCAAGAAGCCAACTCCCACCTGGCTGGGGAGGTTGACCAGCTGCACAGCTGAACAGCTGCACACTCCTGCAGTACAGGGGCGTCCTCACACCCTGAGAAGGGAAGCCGACAATTCAATTAGCTGTAAAAGGGGCAAGTTACGGGCCCCTTGGAGATCTGCTCAAACAGCACTTTGGGTCTAGAATTCCCAACATCAGCTCTTCATGGCAGCAACCGCTGCTTCTAACGGCCATCTCCAATAGCAACTTTCAAAATTGCAGAAGGCTTCAGACACCCACAGCTGTAGAATCCAGAATCCTCCCAGATTGGCTAAATTCAACTCTTACATTTTTATCACTTCACAAGTATGTTTTAGAGCCTGACCAGTTTTTTTTTTCTGGGGAGGGGGCAGGGGAGGGTTGATTTCTTCTTATAGCTAGGATGTATTTGCTCTGGATGTCAGTTATCAACGTCCTCCTAAGCAGGTGGTCAGCTGTATGTTAAAATTGCTCAGTCATTTCAAACCAAACCTATTTCTGGATTAGCAAGAATATTGCAATCGCGATACATATAATATACACGATAGTATCGACACATATGTAAAATAGGTACATATCATACCCATAAGCCTCGCAGGGAAGGGACAGTGCTATCTCCACTTAAAGCCATGCCTGAGTTTTAGGAAGTGCACCCTGTAAAGCCTGCTGTGCAGGAGTGTTATATAAACAACCACCACTTCCTTTGAGAAAGTGCTGGATTTCAGATGATCCTCTGGATGACATGGGTCTGAGTTCTGGTATGCAGCTACTTGACCTCATGGGAACACAGCTCCCCGTCACTAGATTCATTCTCTTCGTGCCTTCCTCTTGGCAGTGGACCAGAGTGAGCTGGGCCAGTCTGCCTTGGTCTAACCCCACATCACAAGCACTGGCAGTTAACAACAGTGAGACCATGAACAAGTTCTGTAACATCTATTTGAAATAAAAAATAAAAAAGTTAGAGCTAAAGGCTCTCTGAGATATTTGCTGTGTGCATAGAACAGAGTCTGGCCATCTGAGCGCCCCATGTAGAAGCATACGCTGTCTCTGGGGAGCACGCTAGGTAAGTTTCTAGAAAGAGATCGCGCATGGGGAGGCAGAGCCTCCTCACAGCAGATGTAGATGCCTTCCTCTCCCTTATAAAGGCTTCCTGAGTCCCATACACCCCACCCAGTCCACCCACTCCTCACCCCAGACTCGCTGCACGATCACGATGAGGCTGTCCAACAGCAAACCCTCCAATTCCAGGTGGTTTATTATCAACACGGCAACAGTGCAACAAAACCAGCTGGAGAACAAGAAAGAACCATCCTAAGTTGCAGCGGGCAGTCAGATGCGATCAAATTTTATTTTCTCAATTACTATGTTCTCAATTTGAAGAAAACCCTTCACTTCCGACATACAGAATGAGAGGAGAGAGTGGGCAACAATAAAAGCAGGTTTATCTGGGTGATTCCGGAAATTTCAGAGGTGTTCTGTTCACCTTAGTGAGATTCAGAGCAACCAATGAAAGACAAAAACATCACAGACTTGTATCTCAGATACAAAATTCCACGTGAATTGTAAAGAAATCGCCTTCGGTCCTCAGAAAGACACCAGTCCACACCAGACACAATCGGGAGTTAGAAAAGTCCCAGAGTGCGCGGGGTTCGCGCCACCGCTAAGGATAGGAATGAGCCAACCGAGTGTCGGGCTTCCCCTCTGGTCCGTTGGGTTTGTGTTCCGGTTCTGCCTAACAGGTGTTCAGCTGTCCTCCAAACTCTCCGCGGGTAGCTTCCACGGTACCAAACTTCTATCCGGGGAGGAACCGATCCTCGCTGGGTCTAGTCTGTGCAGCGGCTGAGCCCACCCGCTTGGGGTCGGCGGGATGGACACGGCGCTGGGGCCCTGTCCGGAGCCGGGAGGGTCTGAACACCGGCTCTGAGCCGCCCCCCCGTGCCCGCCCACCCCGACGCTGCGGCCCGTCTGCGCCTCAGCCGGCCGAGCCCTCCACCCACGGGCTGTCCGCCGAATCCCGAGGCGAGGGTCAGGTGCGTCCACCTGCCTTTGTTCCCCAGCCAGCCGTGGACGCGGGCCCATGACGCGACCCCAGGCAAGGGTGGGCGGCGGGCACCAGCTTCCCCGGACTCGGGGTCCGCGCGGGCGGGCAGGGTCGGGCCAGCACCGAGCGGAACCGGCTCCTAGCAGCCCGAAGCCTGGGTCTGACCCTAGAAGGAGGCGACTCTGCTCCCGGGAAGACGGCTCGACAGCTGGCCGGACAGCGGGCGCCGGGGTCACCTCAACAAGTGTCCCCTCGAGGCCAACCGGCCCACGCCCCCTGCACCCCGGGGCCCGCGTCGCTCCCGGGGCCGCCCCCCGCGTCCGCTCTGCGCCTGCGCCGCCCGTCCCGGGGACCCCGACCCCCGGCGGGCGACAGGCGGCTCTACGGGTCCCGCATTGTCCGCGCCGGCCGCGGCTCCTACCTCGGCGAGCAGCGCGAGCAGCAGCGCCGCCACCGCGCCGGGCTCGCGACGCATCGTGCGGGTCCTCGGGTCCGCCGGGCAGCCGGACGGGGCTCGAGCCCGCGCGCACTCCCGCTCCGCCCGCGCGCCCGCGCCCCGCCCCGCGCGCCCGTGCCTCGCCCCGCCCCGCGCGCGCCCGCGCCCCGCCCCGCGCGCGCCCTCGCCCCGCCCAGCCTCTAGCGCGCCCTCGCCCCGCCCAGCACCGCGTCCCCGCCCAGTCAAGCGCGCGCCCGTGTCCCGCCCCGCCACGCGCGCCCCCCCCACTGCGTGCCGTCCAGCCACGCGCGCGTTAGCGCTCCGCCCAGCCTCGCGGCCCCGCCCAGCCCCGCGCGCGCCCGTGCCCCGCGCGTGCCCGCGCCCTGCTCCGGCGCGCGTCCGCGCTCGGCCCAGCGCCGCGCCCCCGCCCAGTCCCCGCCTCGAGCGCACCCGCGCCCCGCCCAGCCACGCGCGCCCGCCCCCCCCCCCCCCAGCCTCGAGCGCGCCCGCGCGTTCCCGTGCCACCGGCCTGACCCAGCTGGAGCCCACTTGCTCCTGCACCTCCTGGGACTCCCATGCCTCCTGCCCCAAGTTTCTCTTCTCCTCATGTGGCCCCACAGGTCAAGAAAAGAAGTTTTCAAAGGCCATCCCAACTCTACCACCCTTGGCAGCCACTCTAGCAACGGACTCTTACCTAGGTAGAAAGCCCCATATGGAGAAACCCTGTAAGGGCTAACTTCAACAATGGGAGCACACATGGCTGCCTCAGCCCACCCATGTGCTGCTTGTGCCCGGTGGCCAAGCACACCTGCTGCCCGCATCTGCCTCCTGAGATGTGTACTGTGTAAGCACTCGCCTGTGTAAGCACCAAGCTACTAAGAAATCCCACAGCTTTCTCTCGCCGCCCGCATTTGGTGGTCTCGGGCTGCTCCCCCACAGCCGATACCATGGGCGGGTGGAGGAGGAACCGAGAGTCAAGCTGGTTGGTGATCAGTTGCTGTTTATTCCATTTGCCCCACACGCCTGTTCCAGTCTCGCTGAGCCCTTTATTCTAATTTCACACTGCCCCTCATTCCCATCTCCTCCTGTCTCTCCTGCTCCTCTCTCCAAGTTCCCACTCCGCTTTGATCTCTCTCTAATCTCTCTCTCTATCTCCCAGCTTTGGGGATAGCAACCACAGACCCAGGTCCCTAGCCCAGTCACATATGAAAGCGCTTCCTGATTGCCTGCAGCCAGGGTGAAATGCCACTTAAGGGTTTTTCTCCTTTCCTTAGTCCAATAACTCAATTAACATCTTAATTAACATCTTAATTCTACTTCTTAATATTAAGTATTTTGTATGGACATAGTAAGAGATACACGAAGCTTGTAGGGTGGCTCTCCTTGGGACATCTCACAATAGATCTCAGACTACAGTGCTCAGGCCAGATTAGTCTTTCCTAACCCTAGCAAGGTCTTAATCTAGTTGTTACTCTTTGGCTCATGACAGTATTATGGCACATAGCCTGGCCCATTTTGATGCCAGGGTAGCTCACAGCTTGCCCCTTGGTCCATCCAGTCCCTCGTAGGGACCCTGCTTTGGGGGTGTTAGGAAGTAAGGGCAACTGAGGCTTAAATTGAGAGAACAGATGCCCTGGAGTCCCTTTTGGAGTCAGTTAACTCCCAAGTTTCAAAAGCATAGCATCAGCTGTCTTCCTGTGTCCATACAAAAAGGACATTGCTCTGTTTTAACTATGCAAAGGACTTAAGGAGAAGAGAAAAGCAATATTTATAAGTTAACAGGGTCTGATTAGGAGATAAAGGTGATTGACCAGTTGGGGAAGCAGAGCACAAAGAAAGAAGTTACAACACACAAGACCTGGGTATGAACTCAGATTGATTTTTGCCTTTCCTGCAAAGAGCAATTCCTTGTCCCAGCATGTGTCCAGGCTCCCTGAGCAATCAGGTGGTGAAGATTAACTCCCAGGCAAGCGGACCAAGTGGACATGAGGTGTGGCTTGAAGGCTCCCTAATGGGGCTGAGCCAGAGGCTCACTGCTGATTTATCTGTCTTGGCCTTCTTAGTCAGTGCTGGGGTGTCAGAAGTGGATTAGGAGAAACTAGCCATCTCTCTCCTCTCTGCCTCACATAAGTCATCCGTGGAGGCCCGCTGACTTCACTCAGGGGCTTCACTGGGTCAGTCCTGGCAGTGCTTGGGCCCTTATGTGGTACCCTGGTGAGCAGCATGCATGGCATGTCCCACACCCTCTCCTACTCACTGGTGTCCTGGGCAATGACTTACAGAAGTACAGAGCCTGAACTGAATTAGCTACCTTTGGAACCAACGACCCAGAGCAACTCAGGGCATCTGTCACAGATGCTTGCACCCCTTTCTTCTGTATGTACTCTGTCCCTAAACAAAAATACATTTTGATTTACTGTTTGTCTACTCCTTAAATTATTGTTTTTTGATGAAATACAAGACCCCCCCCCACACACACACACACACTCCAAGTGTAAGTTTGATACAGCAGGAGCAAAAGGGTGGAGTTAGTTGGTGAGTTTAAACCTCAGGTATCCACAGAATAAATAATGGGAAAGCTGAGGATGGGAGATAACAGAAGATAAAATAGAGCCTCCAGCCAGCTTCTCTCTTGCCCGAGGCACTCTCTCCCCCCCCCCCCCCACCCCCTATCTCTCTCCCTCTCCCCCTCATTCTCTCTTTCCCAGAAGATCACAATCCTTTCAGATGCGAAAACTGAAAACAGACCCAGAGAAGGGAGTCACTCTCAAAAAAGGAGAAGCTACAAGAGAATCTAAATGTCTTGATGGACAACAATTTTGTTTGGCATAGGTTCTCTTCACACACTCCCAGCCTGGCCCATGCCAGCTTTTTCTCTGGTGGCTGAGACAGTTAGCTGAGAGGTGGAAGCGGAAGGGCCGTTTTCCAAGGCTATTTTCCCTCTTCACCCAGGTTTCCCAAGGTCTTATAACCATGGTTTTATCAGATCCATGAACAAAATTTCAGAACGTCATTATATAATCCCTGGCGCATGTCCAGGAGTAAGTCCTGATTCCGAGCCAGTAGTGACCCCTGAGCAATACCAGGTGTGCCCCCTCCTACCGCTCTCCAAGGAAAGCAATCCCGCAAGACAGAGGAGCAAACTTGACTTCAGTTCTTATCCTCTTCTTCACAAGTTGTCTGATTCAGTTTTCTTTTTGTATCTGGGAGCCTTAACAAAAATCTCCACAAGATTTACTTGCCTTCCACACAGCCAACCCAGGTTCAGCTCCCAGCACTCCATGTGGTTCCCTGAGCCCCGCCAGGAGTAAGCCCTGAGCACGCCAGTGTGGTCCAAAACCAAAACTAAGCAACAACAAACACTTGTACAAGATCTGGAATTTAGGAAAGGTACTTGCCTTGCATAGAAATGGTCTTGCACGAGGATTCCTGGCAGTAAACCCTGAGCACAGAGCCTAAATACCGCTGAGCATTGTTCAGAAACAAAACAAAACAAACATCTGGAATTTCATCATCATCTTCCTCTAATATGGGTCGTCCTTCTTTCTTTCCTTCCTTCCTTCCTTCCTTCCTTCCTTCCTTCCTTCCTTTCTTTTTCTGGACCACACCCCCAGGTGCTCAAAACTTACTACTGGTTCTGTGCTGAGTGATCGTTCCTGACGGTATTCCAAGGACATATACAGTGCTGGGAATCAAATGTGGGTTGGCATCCTGCAAGTCAAACACCCTACCCACTGGACTATTTCTTCTTCCCAACAAGTAAAGTTTTCCTATTCATAGATAGTTTAAGTACAATTTAAGGCACATTCATTAATCTAGTTCTCTTTTTGTGCCACTGCTGTTTTAGGATACTGGATGGTACTTCTTATATCTGCTTTGTATGATGTGTAAGTAAAAATGTTCACTTCTAGGCTTGCAAGTGATGTTACAGTGGATCATGTGCATTGGTTTGTGAACATATTCACCTCTTTAATATTAAAGATGTCGTTTTCCCAAACTTCTTTATGGATAAATGAAGTTACTTTTTAATGATCCTTTATAGTTATTCTATGAACTGCTTTTTTCTTCCTGCAAGTATTTCATTTGCCACCACTGTGCACTTTTCCCTGCAGTTTGGCCAAGTTTGCCTGGTTTATGCTTTCTTTCACCTGGTGAGTGGAGCTGGAGCCTCTGAGGGGCTATTCTGGTGAGCACCGACTCTTGTGCCAGCAGCAGAAATTGGGTACACAGATGCAGGAGCTCCTTGGAGGGTGGCAGCTCCCGAGAGCTGCTCTGCAGGAACCTCCCCAGCAGAAACTGGCAAGTGTATGAGGATTGTGGTTTTACTTCAGTTTACTTCTTAAACTCAGATTTGTCAACAAAGGACTCACACACATTTTCTAGAGACCAAACTGGTATCTCCGAGCACCAGTGAAGAGCATACCAGATTTCCGCTGCCCAGAGAGATTCCTGTCAATGCTTTGCCAAACCCTCATCATGGCTGCACCCTCTGCCCCTGTGTCAGCTGCAGTAGAGCCTGGACTTCCATTTCCTCTCAGTTTAGGTCTCCTAAATTATCCCAAAGGAAAAAAAATATATAGTTCAATGGAACACACTCTGTTTCATAATTATATCTAATGTAGCACATTTCTGTTTTCTATCTTTCTTTTTTTGCCTTATCTATTTCTTTTCTTTGGTTTTGGGGACACACCTGGCAGTGCTCGGTGCTTACTCCTGGTTTTACCCAGGGTCAGTCATGGAGGGGTTCAGGAAAACATATGGGGTGCTGAGGATGAATCCAGGGTAGGTGCACACATGGCAATACCTTATCCTGCACTCTCTCTGGCCCATGCTTTTGTTTTCTAATCTTTATTACCTCTTCTGCCTCAAACTGATGAGTGGTCCTTATGAGTGCAAACATTGGTCACGTTCAGTTTTGTATGCTAGGAATATAGTATAAGGTCCAGGAAAATAGGCACTGAACAGGTATTTAAGGATAGATGAGTGATTATAAAGAAGTAAAGAAAGAAGGAGTTAGGAATACGGGCATGTGATTAAATGTGTTTTAAGTTCTTATTGAGTTCCTTCCCAGAATACTGCTTTGGTAAATTTTGTCATTTTAGTAAAATC